TTCCCCCATACTGGCTATCGAACTCTGGTCCTTGCGCTTGTGAGGCAGGCAGTGGAACCACTGAGCTAAAATCCCGGCCCAAGAAATATTTTTCTTAACAACCCTTCTGAGAGTAAAATACTGACAGAATTTTTAATTATCCAAGTTATGAGTCCCTGGTTTGTTGGAAAATATAATAAGACAATATGTTTAATATTAATGATTAAATTAATAAATCACTAATATGTAACTATTAAAGTAGAAAAGACAAATTTCAAAACAATACTGTATTTCTACTGTTTACAGTATATATAATTGTAATAAACACTAATAATCTCTTTGCCATCATTACATGAAAAATAATCCCACAGTTTACACTAAGAAAAAAAACCAAGAGCCATTAGCATGCATGTTATCTTTGTAAAGTTACAAACACAAAGTAAATGTAGGTACATAAAGTGTGTAAGTCTAACATTTATAAATTTAAGACTTGGGTTCATCTTCAAATGTCCATGATAAGGATCTGCTATGCTTTGCTGAAACACAAATTTTTAACCATGTTTCCTGATAAAATAGCATAAGGGAAAAATCATTTTGCTCCAACTGTGCCTGGCTAACAGCCTAGTACAAGAAACTTTAAGCATTCTTACTACTTTCCTCATGTGACACTCAAAAGTAAAACAAACTTTTAAAATACCACTTTCTTTAAAACAGCAACAATGTTGATATGGAGACTGAAAAGATGAAATAGGGCTTAGTATAATTTCCATCCTAAACTGAAATTTTGATAAATTACAAAATGTACTGAAAAATCTGAAAGTTGTTTAGCCCTAAAAGTTCATTATATATTATATATGAAAGGTAAAAGCAAGTCTTCAGTTCCAGTCACAGTAAGAAAAAAAAACAAGACTAGAAACAATTTACATAGAAAATCTTATAAAGTAGTGATATTCACAAATCTGGTTATTTTCAAAACCTCTAGAAATAGATTTTCACTGAATATCACATTTCAGTGGACAGTATCTCATTTATAAATTAAATTCCTTTTAAAATAGTCTCATTTTATATAAGCAAATTTACTTTTGAAGCTCTCCTAAAAGATAATTTCCTGAAATATTACTTATCCACATTATCTTAAAACTACTAACTCAATTTTATGCATAGCTTCTTCTGGGTCTTACCACATACCTAGGGCCTGAACTGAATTCCCTCCAAATTCACGCTGCAGCCCTAACCTCAGTCTGTGACTATGTTTGAAGACATGGGCTTAAAAAAAAGGATGCTTAAATTTAAATCACAGGTTTTGGTGAGGGTTGATATTAATCTCACTGGTGTCCTTATAAGGGGAAGTCTGGACGGACGGACGGACGGACGGACACACACACACACACACACACACACACACACACACACACACACACACAGAGAGAGAGAAAGCGAAGGGCAGACACAGCAAGGAGACGGTCAGTTATCTATAAGGCAAGGAGAGCGAAGCCTTAAGGAGAAACCAAAACTGTCACCACCTGGATCTAGGCCTTCTAGCTTTCAGAGATATAAGAAATTAAATTTCTGTTGTGTGTGTCACCCTGTCTGAGGTATTTTGTTATGTTAGCCCTAGCAAACTAAAGGAAATATGACAATATCCATTACATTATTACAGAAACTGTACAATTTTTAAACATCATAGTGATACAGAAAGTCTAGGTCATCAAAACAAATTCCTTTTAAGGTTATCTGCCTGGAACAGAACATAACTGCATTGTTATGCTAAAATCATATCATGATAAACTGTACTGTTATGCTAAAATAAAAGTACAGGGAAAATTGATTCATTTTATGCTCTACTTAAACTCATCAAAACATCATAAAAATACTTTTCTAAAAGTGAGTGAAATTAAAAGTTTACCCCCCAAAATTTAGAAAAATTAAAGCAACCTATAAATTCAATGCTTACAAAGAGCACAAACACTATGTATAAATCAGTTATTTTAAACTCAAAGACTTATTTTTTACATTAAACATATAGAGCCAGAAAACAATTTGGGGAAGCGGGTGCTGGCGATTGAACTCAGGACCTTGTGCTTGCGAGGCAGGTACAGTGCCACTGAGCTAAATAATCCCTGGCCCCAGAAAACAATTTTTGAACCAAAAAAAAAAAAAAAA